CTATGTGTCATTTTGTGTCACTATTAACATGAATGCAATAATACTTCCACTTTAGCCTGTTTCATGTGACTCTTTCCGTGTTACCTTATTTAAAGTGCTAAAATCATGAGACCAGCTCTCTCGTTCATGAAATTAACCTGTTTTATGTATGTGTGAGCCTCTCTGTTTCTGAGCAGGCATGTGAAAACACTGCTGTAGACACAGTAACCCAGCTTCTGCACACAGCTGAAGCCTTGACCCTTGTGATCTCCATGGGCATGATTTTCAGGCTGAGGAAGACCCAGGCTGGGCCTACGCCTGCTTCCAACCCTCAGTGATGAAGGCCATTAAAAACCTCACTCACATTTACTAACCATGCTTTGGTTGCCATCATCTCCAAAGACAGATGATCTGAACCTTAGCATTTTTTTCAGCCTGAAAGTGGGATGTCTCAGGGAGGCAAGTATCAGTAATGGTAGTAGTGAAAAATAAATATTCAATGAACACCTAAATCAAACCTGTCAGGGTAACTGGTCGCTAGACAGGACGGTGAATTTGGATGCTACCATCCTGTCCAGAAGAGTCCTGTGAAGCAGTATGCAGTGCTTCATATGATGGTCTATATCTGCTAGTCTAGGATAAGCAGCAAGCAGGAGAGTTTTTGCAACGTGGTGGTTCACAGGCATTTGATCAGATGCAGTGGCTTGCCCCATTTGCAAGCAGAAGGCTCTTCTGATGCCCTCCCTTGTCTCACACTTCTCACCTCTTTTCTCCCCCTCTTTCATCTATGGCTTTACATTTTTGCCTTCTCCCTGAGCCTGTGGCACACCAGACCTTCCTGGGAGATCATCTACTTCATTAAAACAGCACAAAACCACCCAGATTTTTTTCTGTATTAATTTTTTTTTAATTGTAATCAATTAGACTGGCTCACAGAGAGGGCAGAAGTGTGTCAAATCCAGAATCAGCTGTGCAGAAGGAGCACATGGTGGGGATTGGAAATCAAAGCAGGGAAAGATGTGGCAAAAACAGAATAGTAATTTACCACTTTAGGCAATTTCAAGCTGCTGAACGTTCACCATGTCTTGTGTCCTAAGATCAGAACCTAACTCTAAAGAATTGTTTGTAACTTGTGAAGTAATTATGTAAAGTAATTATTTGTTTGCCCAGTGAAGACCTTTGTGTACACATGGGCTGAAATATCTATGCTCTAGACAAGTCTGATTTATTACCTATATACTACTAGAGCTCTCTGAATTTTGAATTATAATAACATGAGCTCTTCTCTTCCAACCCAGTTCATTCAAACCAGAACTCTCACAACCCCTGTTTGTTTGGCATAATTTCTGCAGCATATGGATTCCAGTATCGAAGGCAATATCCTTCTACGAGGTCCCTTGAGAGAGAATAGTTTGCATTACATTTAGCACAGCATTAATGTTATTTGACATATTTCATAGAGACATATCCCAAGGCATTGTCATTAATCCTTGAAACGTGACAAATACATTAAAACCAAACCAGGCAATTAAAATGCTTAAAAAAATAAAGTGAGATGGCATTAGCAAACAGAAACAAATCCAAGAACTCTCCACGTCAGTTTCACAATTTAAAACGATAATGACAAGATGTTCTTTCTCCACTCAGTTGTCACTGGATCCTTGGCATTTGCAGCAGTCACAGAGCACAGACTGTCTTTAGGGCCATAATACATAATGAACTTGGACAATGAAGACACAAGACTATTTAAAGCTTGGTAAACTATTGAGTAACCTTAGCATCAATCCTATAAAACGCTGGAAGTCTACAGGGAAATATCACAGATATAATTATATTCTGGCTGACCTTAGTGTGAAGTAGAATACAGACAATATCATTTCATTCTGTCTCCAGACCAGGCAGGGTATCGTTAGCCCAGCAAGTGAAGCATTGCATTAATCATTCTTGTACTAGAATTATCATTTGGTGCAGGAGAAGAAATGCCTTGCCTTATGGCTAACCTTTTATGTCTTTCAAGCTACTCCTCTTTTACCCCCTTAAAGCATTGTTTTAATCCTGAAGACACTTTATTTCTGAATAGATAGCAGAAATGTTTAGCAAGAACTTAAAGTTGCTATGATAAAACACATTTTTAACTGCAAAATGATTAGTAGATTGTTGCCATTTTCACAAACAGTAAGGGAAAATCAGCCCCATCTTCTGTCCTTCACTACAGGGGAAGTAATTGGTGAGCTCTCTCAATTAGGCCTTCTATTATATACTAAATTTTATTGTAGAAGTGCATTTCACTCAGATAAGGACTGTGCTAGGTGCTACATAGTACCTTGTCACAAAGTTGCAGTGTAAGTAGATTACCATGCCGCTATACATAGCCTTAGGTATCAGTAACACACAATAGTAGGAAACTATCTAAAAGCCTAAATGCCAAGTAGAAAAATGTTACTGCAAGTGCCCTATGAAATGAAAGAATAATCAACAATTTGCAGTCCCACTGCTGTAGAGGAGACTGAACAGCAATCTACTGCAAACCAGTGAAGTGCCACGGGACCTGTGGACTTGCAGTCCTGGGGGCAACCCAAGTCCAGCTCTACCCTCCCTCTGTTTTGTACCTTGTTGGTTCAGTCTCTGTTTTTTTTAGTGCTGAAGACAGGATCAATAAAATAGCAGGATCCTGTTTACAAAAGAAAGAAGATAAAGTGTTCAGGCTGAGGTGCCTGAAAATATGTACGAAAAAGACTATTATACAGCATCTGCCAAGGCTACATATCGTCGTGGTTTAGGGCTGAGCTGGCCAGATGCTCTCCATTAACCCCTCTCCCCTCCCCAGACGGGAAGAGAAAAGAGAATAAGGGAGAGAGAATTTATGGGTTGGAAAATGAAACTAACAGATTTAATAAAACAATAATACTAATACTACAGAATAGTAATGTAAATAGGAAATTAATGAAATATATACAGATATGTACAAATATATATACAAAACCAATATAAAATCCTCCCCCCAACCTCCCCCAATGACGATTACGTCACCAGTGGCTCTGCGGGGCTGATCACTGGAAAAGTCGCAGTCTGGACTCAACAGCAGTGGGAGCAGGATGCAGGAACACACAAATTAGGATCAGAGGCAGACGAACTAGCAGGGTTCTGCTTGGACTTCAGCCATTGCAGGGGTCAAAACAGAAGGAAGGGTCCAAGATGGAAGGGTCAAGACCCTTGTCGTCCCTCAGCTTTATACTGACTATGATGTGTGTGGGATGGAGTACCCAGTTGGTCAGTTTTTGGTCTGCTCACCCCCATAGGCACAGACACGGCACCCATGGTGAGACAGTGGCCTTGAACATTATCAGTTCTAGCAGCACATACTGAAAAACATGCTGCTAGTTTTCAGCAAATTCAGCCACTTAGAAGAGACTGACCTGAAAAGTAAAATCACTAAATAGAAAATCAGTTCTCTTTAGCTCAAACCAGGACACATACTTGTCTTGTTGAAATGCTTCTTGCAAGAAGACATTCCACTAATACAAACTCCTTTGAATATGATACCCATTACTAACAATGACTTTACTACCCATTAATTAAGCACAGACCCCCACCACCACTGCTTATACTTTTTTTGCTAGCTGTATTTGTCCTCTTTACGATTATTTGCATGTTTCATTTGTGACTAAATTATAGTATATCTTTATCTTGAGGGCTATTATAGCTAATGATGTACTTACAGAAAGTGAAATTGCTATGTAAGCCATTGAAACAGCTAACTGCAGATCAAGATATATGTCTGGAGAGAGAAAATATTCTTCAGAGTTTCCATATTGTGAGCCAGCTATTACAGGGTTTAACTCGGTTTTAATAATTTCCTTCAAAGGCAAATGACCACTGACAACGTTGCACAAATCGGTCATAAAACTTAATAGGAGCATGAGGATTTTGATCAAAAGCAATAAAATATGTACAAAAGTGATGAAAGCATATGAATTACATTATCAAAGAGGTTCATAGTGACTAAACCTGAAAAGTCCCAAAGACAGAATCTGGCTTAGCTAAATTTGCTCTGAAGTTGCTGACTTCTGAGGAATGGACATAGGCACCAAACAGTGTCGCCTCTCCCAGGACGCAGTAAGATCTTGGCATCTTCTTAAGGAAAGCAGACCATGCCAACAGAGTGCAGGGTTTAAAAGTCACCATGTAGTGATGCTGTGACATGAAACATTTAGTTTTCTGAGGATTGTGTTAAACCGTTGAAAATGGATGTAGTATCTGAAATGTAGTATATGAAGAGATTTCAGATAGGCATGCTGCTTTTCCATAAGGGCTTCATCCAGGCTCTACTAGGACAATTTCATGTAAATATCTCCAGCATTGGCATTTTCTTGCTGATACTGGAATGGATCAGCTCTGGAAAGTGAAAAAAAAGTCAAAAGAAAAACTAAAAGGGCACGTCAGGGTGAGGAAAGAGAAAGTGAAGCGCTCTTACTCCTGTATGAGCATCCCCACAAAAAGCCAGCTGTTGATGTGTCATTGAAACTGGGCTGTGTATGATCTCAGGATATCTCTCACAGGCAGAACCGTCCCAGAATTGGCCAAAACTTATGTTCAGATCTGTAAGCTGATTTTTAGTGTGAAAACTGATACTTGAAAATCAGCATGGCTGCAGAAGTGGAGACTAAAGACTTGTGATTAAAATTAAACCTTAGCAACATCACCTTAATTCTGGAGCAGCTCTTCTTACTGAAGCAGGGGACTCGGCTGTGCTGTAACATGTGTGACACCAGGACTGGCCTGGGATCTCTGAAAAGTCTCGTTCAGAGGCAAGAAACAGTGAGAGAGAAGATAAGGAAAAGATGATTGTTGTTCCAGTAAGCGCTCTCCACAACTTTGTGCCAGCCCCAGTCAGTACATCCAAGCCTTGATTTATATGTCTTAAAAGCACTGAGCAGCTCCCAAACCAGGCTGCGTCCCCAGAGAGGACTAGATGGGTTAAGATTAAAATTCCTCAGCAATACTCAGCCCTTTTAGGGAAAGAATAGCAAGGCAGAGTGAGAAAAGACGTACAGTAGCAGACAGACTGACTGACTCCTTTGGCTGCTGAATTAAGTGGAAGTGCATTTTCCCTGGTAATTGCTTTAGAACTGAGTATTTCATCTAACATGAAGGTAAGACAATTGCTTACTTAATTTGTACTGATGAAGTGAATATGGCAAGTGCAATGAAATATTAATTTATATGGAGAAATACTTAGCTGAAAATGTAACTGGCCAGTATTGCAAGATAAGAAAAAAAACCTAATAAACAACAGCACGCACAACAAAGCAGAGGAAAATCAGTGTGATGCTCTCCTTTACTTCTTAAGCTGACTAGTGTAAAGATTGCAGAAAGAACAGCTGCATGAGCTAACAGGAAAAGCAGAAAAGCAAAGTAAGTTTGCTTTTGCTCCTCTCTTTTCAGGTGCTGGGGATTTTTCTGTTGCTGGAAGTTTCAGGCTTCTTTCCCATTTTTTCCAGGTGACTATTTCTTTAGTAAACTACATGCGGAAGACCAAGCATATATAACTTAACAGACTACTTCTGGTGCATGACATGAGGCAAGACTTAAAGGGGTCTCCAGATGTATTTCCTAGGAGAGGCAACACTGTTTGGTGTCAGTGCTGTCACTGCCATCACCCTGCTGATCTCCAGACATGATCTGACCTCTCCCTGTGTTGCAACGTGAAGCTGTTCTTTGAAGATGGTATATAGTTGCACAAAATCGTTGCTAGTCTTCAAGCTAGGTGAATGTATCTGGCTTCTTCTTTCAGAACCCCAGGCTGGGACTGATTTCATTCATAGGCATGAAAATAAAATTGAAGTGGTTTTAGAGGAAGCCTGATCATATCCCTAATTGTTACTGGAGGTCTGGTGTGCTGTTTAGAAAAATTTTGCACTAATGCTTATGGATGGAAATTTCTGATGTTGTTTTTTTTTTAATGCAAAAAATTCTACTGAAGCAGTCGTCCCCCTCCAATTCATTGCCGCTGGAATTCTTTTGGCCCTTGGTCCGAGTGCGACGGCTGTACTCAAAACCAGGTATAGACAGACATGCTTTTTCTGTACTCATGACTTCACAAACATATGCTTTCTCACCAGTAATTAAGGAGCCCTGTATCTTTAAAACCCCACATCAAGTGTCAGACAAAAGCCTCAGCAGAACAAGGATGACCAACAAAGAACTCAGTGGAAATCCTCCAGTCTCTCCTTTATGTTCCCTTTCAAAACTATGATATTAACGTTGTAAAATAATTTGTGAACTTTTTATTTTGGTGATGGTTCCAAAAAGCTCAACTGAACTGTTTGGTAAACTGAGACATTCCTCCACTGTTGCTGGTTTGTACCAATTCTGTCGATTTTTCATTAGAGGAATCATGTCTTGAAAGGAGTCATGAAAAACTTGGTTGCAAAGTATTATCCTCAATTCATTATCAATTCATTATCAATCATCAAATTGATGGTTTTTAGAGTGCAACTCATTGATGTGCAAGACATCTGCTTTTGATTTTCCTTCTTGTTTACTTTGATGTTGCATCAATTAGGGAAGGATTAGTTAAAATTAAAGATGCACTGTGAGACACTTCTTACTCTTTTTAGAAGCAAAAAGTAGCCCACTTGTTGTTAGATTTTATCACCTTCCTTAATGACATCGTTTACTTTTAAGAACTTCAGGAAATTCGTATCAGGCATGATTGGTCCTATTAAAAATGTAAAACAAAACTAGAATTTGTCAGCAGTTTTCTCTTGGTATCAGCTAGAAATTAGATTTTTGAACAAACCAGCCAAGCTTATAGATCAGTCTAAAGACCTTATAAAGAAAATAGTTGTCTTTCTATTAACCTGAGAGTTTGTTACCATATTGTGGTAATACCAAGTGGTAGTATTCTCAGAAAAATAGTGAATGTCTCGAAGTTTTCCTGCTTTGCATTTGGATTTTCTAAGATCTCCCTTGATTTGTGTTCAGATTCGGAGACGGACAGTAGCAGTTTATGGCCAGTATGGGGGAAACCCCTGCTCTGGGGATGCTTTTGAAACAAGACCATGCACCCCCACAAGGGGATGCCCAACAGAGGATGGCTGTGGTGATCGGTTCAGGTGTTTCTCAGGTACTATCGAAAATATTTTTCACCATTTTCAGGTCATAAAGTTAAGAAGATAGCCTTGTTATCTTTGAAATCTAGTAAATCAGCAGTGGCTTTACAGAACCCTTGACCTACCACTAAATTTGATTTAGCAGGATACCCTTTTATTCAGCCTTTACTATGTTTGTTTTCAATTTCAGCTGGAGGGTTGCAAAACTTTGCAGATAATATGCAGTAGCTCTGGTATGGCTCTACATCATTCTTCCTTACTAATTTGCCCCAGATTACAGTTTTTTTCATTACCAGAAGGTAATTAAGGACTGCAACCTTAGATGTGATTGTGTGAAGCTGTTCTAAGCTATATCCAAACATCTTGGAAATCTCCTGGAAACTAATGCTCCCTAAAACAGTGCTAGTATCCAAGCAGCTTCCTTCTTCACAAAAAAAGCACATTAACTCAGTAGGTAATCATTTTTCACAGACAAACATGATAAACATGTTTTGGTGCTACCAGAGAGATAATCACAGTTAATCACAACTGATAGGGTCAAAGGATGAAAGCTCAGGAAATAAATCTATAAGTCAGCTATTTTATTAATATATATCGTAAGCTTTGAATGGCTGTGGTTCCCTCTAGTGTACTACACACTGGCTCTTTATATCTACATTTACTGTTGTTTCACAAGCCCTCCCCGGGCACAGACTGTTCATCAGGGGAGTGAACGAGCTAATTAATATAGGAGATAAGTGGAACTTCTTTGCTTTTAGGTGATTTTTTTTTAAATGAAGAAGCACTTCTCCTTCCCCCTTGACTTTTTGTTCTGATTTAGGTCAGTGCATTAGCAGATCTCTTGTGTGCAATGGAGATCAGGATTGTGAGGAAGATGGTTCAGATGAAGACAGATGTGAAGAGAAGACGACTGCATGTGATATTGACAAAACACCTCCGAATTCAGAACTTACAGGAACAGGGTAATGTTCTGTGCCTGGCTCAGTAGCACTGGTGCCAAATGCATTTACAATTCTGTCGTATTTACAAGCTCTGTCTGTACAGACAGGCTTCCTGGGCCTATGGTAAAATATCCCATATTCAAAAAAGTTCAGTACAATGGTCTCTATCATGTCAGTACAGCCAGGACATACAGGCCCTTTGATCTGAAGCACAGAATAAAGCTTTTTATCTTTCATACCTGCTATTGAAAAACATCTTTTAAAATATAAAATGAAATGTCAACCAGTAACACATAATCATCAGCATGGAAAATATGAGCCAGCAATGCTCATTCTTTTTGTTCGTTGCTGTTGAGTTTAGTACTGTGGTTCCATATGGATTTCTGTTTATACCTCCTATTTGCAACCTAGTAAAATAATTATCTTAAGTTTCTTTAGCATAGTTATATCACTTGGATGAGATAAGATTCAGATATAATAATAATAATAAATTTGAATGGTTGCACTGTTGTTCCTGTGTTGCATTAATTGCTGAAACAGTAAGACTTAATAAAATCTGTTGTGATAGATATGAATGCCATAATGTTAAGAGATATTGATAGGTGTCCTTTTTTGCTGATAAATGAAAAGGAACAATTTTCTTTCTGTATTGTAATATGCTATGCACACTGCAGTTCTGCAGATATGGAAGTCTATTGTCTAATATTCCCTTTTCTTGGGTAAATCAGGATTATGACTTAATCTGCAGATGCAGCATTCAGTTATAATGGCTCTGTAATTTTTGTCTCCTGTAAAATCATTTGCTGCCTGTCTGTCTTAGTGATCTTTCATGTTTTTCTTCTTGTAGCTTTGATGCCATTACTGGTGAGACTCGAGGAAGAGTCATTCACACAAAAAGCTTTGGAGGACAATGCAGAAAGGTCTTCAGTGGTGATGGGAGACAATACTACAGGCTGAGTGAAAGCGTTGTTGCTTATACATTCCAGGTATGTTTCTTTTAAGCACAGCTTTATATTTAGGGTCATGATTGAAACCGGGAGAATAATGCAAAGCTTGTAGGGTCTCTTGGCAGGTATGTTTCTCGAAATGCAGATGAATGACACCTGTTCCCTCTCTGCAGGTGCTTATTATTTTGAAATACAAACTGGTATATATCATGCTAAGATGAAAGGAAAAAAAATTAATTCCTTGGATGTGATTTCTAATTCTTTTACTGGTAGACTGAATGTAAGGCCATCTCCTTAGCATAACTAGTGGCCTGAATTACCCTAAGAAATGTTACGTGCACAAGGCTTTGGGGTGCTTTGTGGAGATCTTCCAGAGATATGCTCTGTTTGAAGTCACTGTCTCAGAGATTTGGTTTGTCTCACATTTATCAAAAGCATGCTAAGCAATCCTTAATTTACCTTACTTCATAAAGTAAATAATTAATATACA